ATGACGCTATTTTCTATAATTTTCTCTAGAGCTGCTCGATTATGGAAAAAAATCATAATCACGAATATTTTGGTCAATATCGAAATCACGATTATTCAAACGATTATTTTTATTTATTATTTCTCTCTCTCAAAAAAAACACTTTGTTGATAATTTACACCAAACTTTCAAACTGAAAATAAATTAAGGCTACAAATATGAAACTTAGAGCAGTTTTGTGATGTATAAAACATAAAATGAATAAAATAAACTTTGAACATGAAATAAGGCAGAAAAACATAAATATGTCCAAAATACACTCTATATACAGCTCTTCTACAATGTCTAGATTTAAAAATAAAATAAATATACTTATTTATATAAAAAATATCCCAAAAAAAACTTTGTTAAGCTTTAATCGTTTCAACTCGATTATGAGTTTGGAAATCGTTTGACACACAAAGTGAAATTGTGATCAAAATTCAATTAATAGCACAGATTTCCTCGTCACACACAGACCTGGAGTTGTGTTTTGTTTCATTCACATGTTTAACACACAAACCCGGCACATTCAGCTCTTTTTTGAAACTGAAAACACTCTGTTCCACCTTGTGATGTCATGTGGTGATACAGGAAGTGCTCCACTCTGTTTTTAAACTCCAAACACCTTCACTAGAATTAGGGATGGGCATGATTAGTCGATTAATCGATAATTGATCATTAAGAATTTCATCGATTACGTTAATTTTAATCAACAAACCGAATGTAGGTTGCTGTGCGTAGCCTGACCAAACATGGGTCTGTACATGTGTCTCTGCATCAGAAGGAGCGAGTCGGTCAGTCTGCAATGTACCGAAGCACAAATGTGTATTTAACGATGACTTGTACAAGAAATTCCACGCTTCCCGTTGCGTTCGGGACAAGTGCGAGGCCATGTGCACAGTGTATAAAGCAGCACATATGTTTCATGTCCAGTGGGAAAAAGTTTTGCCAGGTGAGAGTAGCACAATGTCGATGACGAGTCCCCACCTCCCTCCCCCGTACGGTGTCCTGGTTTTGACAAATGCAAATATGGTCACACTAACCTGTATTCCACTGAGTCGTGTCTTTTATTCCGACAGAAATTGAACCGCATCAGTGCACAAGAGATGTAGTTTTATCTTCGCTTAGTTTATGCAAATTAGTGATGTGGTTTTAAGTTTTGTTTCTGTGAGAGTTGCGCAAAACTGAATTAAACACATTATAATGTCAAACGGATTGATGTGGCTCTAGAGTGGTTACGGTTTATATGTCGTAAAGTTGAATTTATTTCTGCAGATTAGTGCAGATAGTAATAATAATGATGATCATTTTAATATAAAAATGTTAATGATTAATCGATAATCGATCGATTAAGAAAATTTCATCGAATGCCCATCCCTAACTAGAATCATTTGGATCAAACACCGGCTCGAGCGTCCCCCTGGTTTAAAAGTCCTGGCTTGAGCGTCCCATTCACAACCCCCCCATTTCCTTCTGGTGCCCCCTTCTCTTGGCGGCACACTGGTACCTGCTGTGTCCGGGTGAGGGGGGACATTCTCTCCGGCCTTTAGTATGTGATGTATAGAGTTAGAAAATCAGCTTCTATATCATAAGAAAATGAAATGCGAATGTACAAGACCAAATGTCAGTCCTTGTTTATGCCATTTTATCGATCTTCCTGAAGCGGCACACTTTTTATCACAAAGTAATACCAATATAATCCTCATTTTCTCGCAGAGGTTCACTATATAATCATATTTTAAATCATTTTTTCTTGATCCCCATGTCCTATAGCATCTGTAACTGTTGATTTAGGAAGAAATAGGGCTGGGCGATATGGATCAAAAAATATATCTCGATATATTTTGCTATATCTCGATATACGATATATATCTCGATATATGTTCAAGAAAAAATAACCCCCTAAAACTGAAAACTGCAAAAACAAATCTGCCAAATTCCACAAGGTCTTTTTTTTTAATTGAAGTGTAAGAGGTCGACAGTTCATATAGGAACATTTAAGATTACAAAAAACCCTAATTACATAAATAATAATTTAACTGTAAAATAAAAGAAATAATACATATTTCCTTCTTTTCATTCATAAATAAAACAACTCAACACAAGCTCATCTTTGCATTAACTCTGTTATCCAAACCAGAACCATAACCATGAGCTCATTTAGCAGAGGAAGCTCGGGATATTCCTTATTTTAATAGATCCATATCCAGCAGTAAGGAGCTCTGAGGTTTAATCCCACAATCCACTGCAGATCAAACCCAACGTTTCCAAATACTATTGTACAAGTGACACTGCAGCAGATTATTAATTAAAATATTCTGCATAAATAAACTTTACATTGTTAAACTTTACAAGATATAAAGGATAACGACTCTAGAGCCACATCAGCCCGTTTGAGATAATAATGTGTTTAATGCAGTTTTGCGCACATGTGTTTACATTTTACAGAAACGAAACTTAAGCGCATGGCTCATTTGCATAAACAACGCACTTCTCATGCAGCTCAGCTCGTTTAGCTTCTTTCGGGCTAAAGGACGCGACTCGGTGGAATATGAGGATGTGCTGCTGATGGTTTTGTCTGTAAATGATGGAAAAGGTTCGTGGTGCTTGAAGCTTTTCACTGGCACCAACTTTCGGCGTTCAGGGCGATAGTGAGGAGTGAAGGAGACACGAGCGAACAAAATCAGGGAGGCGGGAGCGCGCGGAGGTGACGAGAGAGAAGACAAACAAGCGAAGCGGCGAAATCAGAATTGAATATAAGCATTATATCGATATATACGATATGTCAGAATTCATATCGAGTTTAAAAACTATCTCGATATATTTAAAATATCGATATATCGCCCACCCCTAGGAAGAAATATGAATTATTTCCCTACCTGCTGCCATGAACATAATTTGTCAGCAGCGCAACACAAGAAAATTTAGAAAGCTAGTGTGTGTTTGAGACCACATCATTTTTTTGCATGCAAACGTAAATGTGTAATTAAGAGAATATATACGTATAAATGAAAAAAACACAAAATACAATTCAGGGGAACTTTCCACTTTCCAGCTGATTTCCTTTGGATCATTTCAGCCCTGGAATTCAACAATCTCTCCTGAACTAAAGGTAAAAGCTATCACTTCATGACATCACAAGGTGGAACAGAGCATTTTGAGCTTTGGAAATGTACACAGACTAATAATCAGTGTTGGGAAGGTGACTTTTAAAATGTATTCCCCTACAGATTACAGATTACATACCCCAAAATGTAGTTTGTAACGGAATCCATTAAAATACTTAAAGTGAGTAACGTAATCTGAATACTTTGGATTACTTGATATTGTCATGTTTTATAAAACTACATGAATGTAACAACCACATCCTGAAAATTCTTGTTTGTTCTCTTCAAATTGGCCCTGGTTGAGTCCTGGTTTTAGTCCTGGTTTAGTCCTGGTTTAGACCTCGTTTTAGTCCTGCTTTTAGTCCTGGGTTTAGTCCTGGTTTAGACCTCGTTTTAGTCCTGGTTTTAGTCCTGGTTTAGACCTTGTTGTTTCAGTCCTGGTTTAGTCCTGGTTTTAGTCCTGGTTTTAGTCCTGGTTTTAGTCCTGGTTTTAGTCCTGGTTTTAGTCCTGGTTTAGTCCTGGTTTAGACCTCATTTTAGTCCTGGTTTTAGACCTGGTTTTAGACCTGGTTTAGACCTGGTTTAGACCAGGTTTAGTCCTGGTTTAGTCCCGGTTTAGTCCCGGTTTAGTCCTCGTTTTAGTCCTGTTTTAGTCCTGGGTTAGACCTGGGTTAGACCTGGGTTAGTCCTGGTTTTAGTCCTGGTTTTAGTCCTGGTTTAGACTTGGTTTTAGTCCTGGTTTTAGTCCTGGTTTTAGTCCTGGTTTTAGTCCTGGTTTTAGTCCTGGTTTTAGTCCTGGTTTAGCCCAAAATGTGAAAACAGGAAAATATGTAATCCATTTATTTCAACAAAGTAACTGTAATCCAATTACCACTCACTGAAACAGTAACTGTAACTGAATATGAACTCATGATTTGTAGTCTGATTACGTTATTCTGGTACATGTAATCTGTTACTTCCCAACACTGCCAATAATAAAGAGTTACTCAAAGATGTGAATGAAACAAAACACATGTCCAGGTCTGTATTTGAGTTTTTGAGAAGGAAACAACTTTATAACATGACTTAATGCTCAATTTTTGCAATATAAATAATGAAAAATAATGAAAAACTTTTAACTAAGCCAATATGAAGCAAAGTTGTTCCTTGAGTGTCAAAATAATAACTTAGAAATAGCAGTAGTAGCAGTAGTAGTTAGGGGCATGCAAAAATATCAGAATATTGATATATCGTATCATTTAATGTGATGATACAGTATGGATATCGTGGGCTACTGTATCGATATTTCACCAAGAGTATTTTTAGGTGTGTTTTGCTAAATTATTTTGTTACAGTGCTACAGTTTTGTTGCTTGTGGAGTGAAAGGAAACTCATTTATGCAACACATTTGATATTTTTACTGTTTTGAGGATTAAAATGTTTGTGTTTCATATGAACTTTTCACAAGTGATTTAACAAAGCCTTTTAGTATCAGAGCCACGATTTAGCCTTTATTTTTTATTGAACCATATCGAATCAATTTGAAATATATCATATTGAATCGAAAGTGCACTGTATCGAGATATGTATCGTATCGTGGGCTGTGTATCGAGGTATGTATCGTATCGGCAACTTCTTAATGATACCCAGCCCTAGTAGTAGTAGTAGTATTAGGCCTAGTAGTTGCAGTAGTTTTAGTAGCAATAGTAGAAGTAGACCGTTGAAAATAGCGGTCTATGTCTAATATAAATAAAAATACATACAAAAATATTAAGAGTCGCACTTTTTCCATACAAAAGCCTAAATTATTTGGGTTATAAATAGTTTGAGGTGTATATATTTTGCAGTGTGTGTGCCCGTAGTGAGAGCAGAGAGACGCGCGCGCCACCTCACCTGTCCCCTCCACGCTGTCCCCCTCCTCCCGGGCTTTTCTCGGGGCTCGACTCGGTCCTTCTCCCGGTGCTTCTCCCGGTGCTTCTCCCGGGGTTTCTCTCACTCCTTTAGGCGTACAGAGCGCTTCTTCCCCCGGGTCTGAGCGGTGTACTTCAGGTGACTCGGTTTCCTCTGCTCGGGGTCTAAGCGCAGGTTTCCGCGTCGCGTTTGAAGCTCGAGTGAAGCCGCAGCGGAGACGCTCTCACCGGGGGTTGCCAGGTTTGAGTCGAGGTTTTCATCTTAAAACAAACTCAAGACACCATAAAATACAGAATAATACATCACGTTTACAGATGCTTTAAATAAATACATATATATAACGATTGTCGATAGGCTTGAAATGTTGGATACCTGTTTGTACAGCTAAATCTATGTATGTTTTGGGCTCGTTTTCAGGAGTGAATTTGACTTTTCACCAAAGTTTGTAGCCCACTGTAGGTCTAATGTTTAGTAGCCTCTTACGCCCCCTGGTGGTCAGGAATTGTAAGCCGTGCATTATATTTTGTGATTGCTTACTTTCCTTTTCTTTTTGTATTTTGTTTTAGTTTTAAGTCTCCATTTATAAACTCTCTTAATCCGTATTCATCCACAAGGTAAATTATTATGTAGACTATTGTGTCAAATTACAGTATAATAAAAACGAGCAAAGAATATAAACACGGGAAACTGCCTAAAATTCTAAATAAGCAGCAAAAACAGTAAGAGACTTGTGTCAAATATGTAACAGTTATACAATTTGTTTAAGTAAAAGCCTTAAAAATTTAGTATGCCTTATTTTAATTATATAGGCCTATAGCTAATAATGATTATTAAGAAAAAAGTAAAAGTAACAGAGCAAATCAGTCAGTTTTATTGCCATAATCAACAAAATTGACAAACAGGCCTGTAAACGATGATGAAAATATAAAAATAAGGGCATTAATTGAAATAAGGTAATAAAAAAAGACGTTGATTTACAAATACAAAATGTACAGTAGGGCAGAACAGTGCAAAAGGGTTAATTGCTGCAGTTTAAAATGACAGTGACAGGTGTTATGGAGTGACAGGTGCTGCCGACAGACAGGTGTTGTAGAGTTAAAGGCTGGTTTATAGTTCTGTGCCAAATCGCATATGAAAACAATCTGTGCTGTGTTTGTGTGTACGTGCACCTCGGCCAGAAAGTTTTTTGTTTGTTTTTTTATTACACACAATTATTGTATTTATTTATTTATTATATTGTATTTATTTATTTATTATTTGTTATTATTTTTATATTTTAACACAGTTATTTTAATAGATTACACACAACTGGGTGCATAAATGTGATTCAACAAACATGGCTGTGTGTTGTCAGCAGTTACATGTCAGATGAGGGAACATGAACACAATATATTATATAGTAACAATACGGTATAGTAATATAGAGTAATAAATATATAATATAATATAATATAATATAATAATATAATATAGTAATAACACTACATAAAAAGTGCATTTAAGAGAAAAAGAGGACTGTAGCAAGGAGGGTAGGGTTCATTCAGTCCAAGAGAAATTCAAACATGTAAGAACACACTTTTTGAGCTTTAAGTCCATTCTGACATTTCAGAGATTTGATATTTAATTTGAGTTCATTTTTTTTTTACCTCAGCCAGAAAGTTACTACACATCGAACTTCCACCGAACACAAGAACTGTGATTGGGTGAACCACAAAGATGGACATATGGACAACTGTTCTGAGCTGTTTTCATGTTTGGCACAGACATATCTGCATCTCAACCTAAAGTGATTGTTTGTTGTCACAGAATGAATTCAATTGAAACTGAAACGTTTTTAGATGTCCACAGAAGCTCGAACGGTTCAGTCTGTGTCGGGACGTCAGCTCTCAGCGGGGCCTCCTGCAGAACTGTTACTCGACTCTGAGCTGGAGACATTTGTCACAGTGAGGGACACGAGGACACTAAACAAACTGCTCTCCATCATGGACACTCCTGCTCACCCACTGCACCAGACTATAGAGGGACAGATAATACTCCCTACTAATACTCCCTACAGCTGTACAACAACTCACCCGCTGCACCAGACTATAGAGGGACAGATAATACTCCCTACAACTGTACAACAACTCACCCGCTGCACCAGACTATAGAGGGACAGATAATACTCCCTACAACTCTACAACAACTCACCCACTGCATCAGACTGTAAAGGGACAGATAATACTCCCTACAACTGTACAACAATTCATGCTAATGGAACAGATAATACTCCCTACACCTATACAACAGCTCATGGTTATGTAACAGCAAAGGGCAGGAAACTGTTTTAGTGTTGAGATGTTTTGTGGTCTCCTGCCTGCGGAGAGGGTCTCTGTCTCTGTCCAGGGTGAGGGTCCTGGAGGTGGACAAGACCTGGACAAATGGAGAGATGGGACTTAAGGAACGCTGCAGATGATCTCCTCCTCGGCAGACCCACAATGCTCTGCTGCAGTGTGGAGGTGAGGATGGACTCCCTGAAGATCGTGTAGAACTGCACCTTCATCTGCGCTAGAGCTCGGCTTCCCTCAGCTGCTGCAGGAAGTCCATCCTCTGTTAGACCTTCTGGATGAGAGAGCAGACGGTCAGGTCTCACTTGAGGTCCTGGGAGATGGTGGAGCGGAGGAAGCGAGCGAGGAAGCAGAGGAGTCCATTTCCGTGACCACCATCATCTCCAATCTCTTCTGTATGGCAAATCATTTTTTAACTTTTCAACAATTATAAAGCAACTAGGCCATACGAAAACGTATCATGTTTAGTTGTCAATGTAAACATCTCATCTCTATCTCCTGCTGAAGTTACCTTGTCATAGCTCACAGTGACCTCTAGGTGGCAGCATCAGCTCGAAATAGAAGCATCGTTTTTATACGTTTCTAAAGTCAACAAAGGAAATGGCAGGTGGCAGTTTTCCAAGTGCCTTTACAAACTTTTATTGTAGCAGCAGGAGGCATTTTGGTAATGACTGACCAAATGAAAGCTATAAAAAATATTCATTAAAGCTGAAAAATAAAGACTAGTTTGAGTTGGTACAATCAATATTCACTAGACATGATTCAAATGTGACTCAAAATTAACTCACACAATAGTGAAACTGTCCCTGAGAAAGACAATTCTCTGTGTTGTTGACAAAAGTGAGAGGTGTTCAGTTTCAGAACTCGCCACAGCGTCTTGTAATGTTGCGCTTCCCTTTTCACCTTTTGTCTATAACTTCCACTTTAAAGGTCCTGTATTAAACAAACCTGACTCTTCTGACCTTTTGGCCTTGTTTGTAATCTTGCTGTAATCTCAAGAAAAAACACACCCAAAGTTGTGTTGAGAGAAGGCTGCAATCATCCAAATGACTTTAGTGATTGTGTTGGAGTTTAAAAACTTAGTCCTGTATTCCTAGTTTTCAGTTTGAGAGAAGAACTCAGAGCCTAAATGTGCAGACTTGTGCGTTAAACATGTGTGAATGAAACAAAACACAACTCCAGGCATCCCCCAGGACCCCCGAGGAGGAGACCATTTAAAACTTCTTCTCCAGAGAGACGTGTTGGATTCATACTTTGAGGTGGTACAGAGGTGGATTTTTCACCCTTCCTGTTTCCCCCCCTCTGCTCCTGTAAATTAGGGCTGGGTATCATTAAGAAATTGTTGATGCGATACATACCTCGATACACAGGCCATGATATAATATATGTATATCTTGATACAATGAACTTTTGATTTGATACGATATAATTCAAATCAATTCAATACGGTTGAATAAAAATTAAGTCTAAATCCAGGCTGTGATACTAAAAGTCTCTGTTAAACCATTTATTGTGCAAAGTTCATATGAAACACAAACATTTGAATCATCAAAACTGAAAATGTCAAATCTGTTGCATAAATGAGCTTCCTTCCTCTAAACAAACAACAAAACTGTAGCACATTAACAAAATCATTTAGTAAAAAATGCCCAAAAATACTCTTGACGATATATCGATACAGCAGCCCATGATATTGATACTATATCATCACATTAAACATATGTAAACACAGATGAAGCAGAGGCCGATCGAGGGCTGTAGACTGGTGCTCAATACAGTGAATAATTAAAATATGTGCATGTTTAACACATTAGAATGATCCATCAGTCCTTTATTCATACTAAGATCCTTCAAGCTACACACTAAATATTCAAAATTAGCTCTATCATGGTAGATTTAAACAAAACAAAACAAAAAAAAATCTTGCAATAAAAAGCTATTTTTTCACTGATACAAGGTAATTTGGGCCAGTTCTTCTGGAAGCCTGAAGCCAAGAAAGGTCTGAGGGCTGCATTTGGTCCACAGGTCATATTTTGGACATGCCTGTGTTAGAGGTATGTTGTCAATACACTTGGATTCACCATGTATATTTATTTATTTGCAGTGCATATTCATAAACATCTACAACACTGCAGTGTAAATATGCCAGATTAAAGCAAAAATGCTCATTTCCATCTGTAGTTCCTAGGCAGGTAACACCACTAATCTAACAGAAAAAACAAGAACAAGTGACAATAGAGACAGTTCTAAACTAAAAGTGTCCACAAGTTTTTACTTTAACCACAGTTTCAAATGGGATTTGAAAGTGTCCAGTGTTGGAGTCTCTCTTATTGACAACAGGAGACAGTTCCAGAACTTAGTGCCTCTGACTGAGACACACTTTGTCCAAATGTGTATATGTATATGTATATGTATATATATATATATATATGTATGTGTAACGACCCAGCTTGTTTGGGGGTGAGGGAAGTAACAAAAATAGCCAAGATGGAAAAAAAATGTATAAATTAAATAATGTTTAATTAACAGGAACATAAAGGTAAATTAACAAAAGACTAAAATATACAGAAAATAACCTAAACAAAGAAACAGAACAACAGAATAAACTGAGCTTTGTGCCACTAAAAGGGTCAAGCAGGTTTACACAAAACCAGTGGTTAACAAGGGGACACACACTAAACTAAAACACAAGTTCCCCAAATTAAACCACATAAGCCCACCAACAGAATCGAGTGACCAAATAAAAAAAAGGCACAAAACAGAACTACACTACACACAAACAAACACAAAATGGCAGACTGGCCACCAAGACCAGCAGCCCTGAACAGGTGTTGGTAATCTCCTTAAGTAGAGGGCGTTGGCTGCAGGTGAGGTGGACGTAAACATGCCCCACCAATCACAGACCAGGACTCCAGCAAAATCACACAAAAAAAATTAGAACTAAAGGCCTGGGACCATAACAGTATGTATATGTATATGTATATGTATATGTATATGTATATGTATGTATGTATGTATATGTATATGTGTATTTT